ATATATATATAATTAACACTTATTTTATATAAGAGATGTTATATAAAATATTAATAAAGTCTTGTTAGTAAATTCAATTTTGAATTAGATTAATTAACATGGAAAGTCCTTATGGTATTGTCTGCAAATTTCAACCCATTTGATATGGGAGTTAATTTTTTAATAGGAAAATATTAATAAGAAGAATTCAATTTAGAGTTAAATTCTATAAATGTGTTGCATGTTTTTATTTTCAAATATTGACTACGTTATAGAATTTAATTTAGTATTGAATTCCATAAATGAGTTACATGTTTTTATTTTAAAATGGTGACTAAGTTGTAGAATTCAATTTAGAATTGAATTCCATAAATGAGTTACATGTTTTTATTTTAAAATGGTGACTAAGTTGTAGAATTCAATTTAGAATTGAATTCCATAAATGAGTTACATGTTTTTATTTTAAAATGATGACTAAGTTGTAGAATTCAATTTGGAATTGAATTCCATAAATGAGTTACATGTTTTTATTTTAAAATGTTGACTAAGTTGTAGAATTCAATTTAGAATTGAATTCCATAAATAAGTTACATGTTTTTTTAAATATTTACCATAAGACATGTGATTTGTATTTTCCAATGGAAATTATGTATATATATGTGTGTGAGTCCTAATTAAGAATTAGTGACATATAAATCTTATACATATTGTAAAGAAACCAAGAGAGTTATTCTTAAGAAGAAAATTTACTTTGAGAAAGTAATAGTGCAATATAAAACCAAGATAAAAAATACTAGTACAAAAAAATTGTTTCTTGTTCTTCTATCTTTGAGTTGAGATTTTTGAGAAATATTTCAACACAATATTTTCATTCAATTTGTTCACGGGGTTTCATTGATCAAAGAGTTGATAGCAAGGACCAGTATCGGTGTGGATACGCATAGGGTCTTCGCACTATCAAAGAAATTTTGAAACAAGATTCTCTTCACCAGGTGTGTCTTAGATCCGATCTTTGATATGTAAATAAATTTTAAACACGAAAAGTTCTATCGAGGATTGTTATTATCTTCCGCTGCGTGTTATGAACACCTCTATTCAATCCTACAGGAAAATCAAAATTGTGAAAGAACGTGGACCTCAGACTCTGTAATAATGGATCTGTAACAGGTAGCAGGGAGCAAGCAACGACACTCGACTTGAAGAGAACTCAAGGCCCATAGCTTATGTGCTCATAAGAAAAATTGATTCATTTCTAGCAACTTTTATATTGATGGAAAAAAAAAAAGCAGCACCTCTTATATTCATGTGAATCGTAAGGCTAACAACTATGGTAAATATGTGGAAGGAAAACCCATACGGCAAATGATTATAGCAAATAAGCTACAACCCCGGAGCAAATTCAACCTTTCATTGGTTTCTATATGGAGCACTTAATTGATAAATTTTCTGTAGCAAGAAATGCCAATGACAGTTTAAGGCCATCGGCAATATGTTCTAAAGCAAGCAAATACAGTAATTACTTTCACCAATGAAAGAGTTCATTTGCAAAAAAAGGTTATGATACTTTTCTGCAATATGAAAAATAGGAGTAAAATGGCAAACATTGAAACAGTATGCAGACGAGACATCTTGATGCAGGACGTAACCAGTAATTCATATTGTTACAAAATCCCCACAAGAAGCAGTGGAATGTACAGCTCAAAATACATAGATCACATTACAAGAGCTGGAAATTGACAGCAACCAAGTAAACAAGAGAACAAAACTAAAAGTCCACCTCTGATGAAACAGGGAAAAGCTAAAAAGACAGCCTTTACAATAAATAAAAGGAAATGCTCGGAGGTGGCTCCATATGAGAATATTATTCATAACATAAGGACATTAACTCCACAAGATATTGCACAAATCATCAGTGCAACATTGACAAGAAACCATATTTCCTGCACACAGGGAAAACCATAGTACTTGATTAATATTCAGACCATAACAAACCATTTCTTGAACTTTACCATTCTGTCTCTCCATAGTAATGTCTTCGACAACTCTTCCACGTAAACAGGTTAAACATAACCTCGTAGACAGTGAATAGGAGTGTATTCGAAATGGAGGAACAACTACTAATAGTTAAATGGTACATAGTGAAATATACAGCTGGCTACTTTTTTTCATTCTTCCAAAAGGGATATGGAAAGTACCTGATGTCATGGCGCTGGGTCGTTCAATAACAAGAAGAAAGCTTTTGTTTGATCTTTTTCAGTGCTGCTACAACATCAATCATGTTATCCTTTCCACTGGAATATTAGCTGTGCAATTCATGGCTAACTCCATGATGGATGCCACACATTGCATCTTTCGGCTTAAGTTCTCTTCATCTACTGTTAGTAAGTCAGCATCTATAATTTGATCCAACTCATCAGGAAGCAAATTATGCACACAACTTCTCAAATTCATGTCTCCCACGAACATTTCATCATTAGGTTTCTTCTTTGTAAAAGTTTCCAGCAACATGATGCCATAACTATAAACATCAGACCTCTTGTATACAAGGCCTTCCATACCATACTCTAAAAAATATAACTTAAAATACGTTAGCAAATAAACTTAAAATGCACTAATCCATAATACTGTTACAAGTTAAATAGGGTATTCACCTGGAGCAATGTAACCAATTGTGGCAAAGGTTGTAGTGTGAGCAATGGATTCTTCCATAGTTAAAAGTTTTGCTATGCCAAAGTCAGTCAGGTGTCCCACCATGTCATTGTCTAGTAACACGTTGCTAGGCTTCATATCACAATGAATAACCGGTACAGAATAACCATGATGGAGATATTCCAGAGCAGATGCAACATCGACCATGATATTCAATCTTTGCATTATATTTAAACAATAATCTCGAGAATATAGCAACTTGTCTAAGCTCTCATTTGGCATGTATTCAAATATCAATGCTTTAAAATCCAAGTTACAACAGCTGGTAATAATCTTGGTGAGATTTTTGCGACGAAGATTCCGCAAGATATCACATTCTCTATCAAAAGTTTGAAATGTACTTTCCATCTGCACATTGAAAACTTTAACCGCTACTATTATCCCATCTGCCAATGTCCCTTTGTAAACAGAACCAAAACTTCCACTACCTAGCAAGTTATTTCCATCAAAGCCCTGAGTTGCTCTTTGAAGTTCATAGTAAGAAATTCTTTGTGGTGCTACCTCAGGCAACCACTCATCTTCAGTATTGGTTGTTTTACCCCGACGTCTCATCAACAAAAAGACTATTGCTGAAGCAAGCCCTATTACAGAGAAAACTGAAGATGCAACGACAACCCGCATCAGTCTTTCTTTCTTTGACTTTGAACGATCCTTTGAATTTGAAGGACAAGTTGGGACATGATTTTGAGAGTTACCACACAATCCTTCATTTGACATGAAAGACTGGTAAGGGAGATGAACAAAAGGTCCTTCATTCGTAATTTCTCCGTGTAACCTGTTAAATGAGACATTAAAATAGTGAAGATACTTAAGTGCCTCTAATGATTTTGGGATTACACCAGACAAATTGTTATACGAAAGATCCAATACTTCTAAAGATTTGAGCCCTCCAAATGCCTCAGGAATAGATCCTTCAATTCTGTTATGAGCCAAAAACAGATGAGTCAATTTCTGTAGACTTCCTAATGTACTAGGAATGTTTCCTAAGATTTGGTTCCAGGAAAGATCCAGAAGTATTGCAGCCTTGAGGTTTCCAACTTCAAGTGGTAAAGAGCCATTGAAGAAATTAGAAGACAAGTTCAACTTTAAAATGTCTTTGAGAGTCCATAGACTTGAAGGTATTATGGCAATGAAGTTATTTGAATCAAGAGAAACCTCCCTTAGAGAAGTCATGTCCCCCAAGCAACTAGGAAGACTTCCCCACATTTGATTTTGTGAAAGGTTTAACAAAGCCAAGTTGGATAGCTCACATAAAGCAATTGGAAAGGGACCACTTATTCTATTTGCACCAAGTGAAAGCCGTTGAAGGTTTTTCAACGAGCTTATTGTCATCGGGACAATTCCATTAAAGTCATTATCTTCTAGCTCCAAAGAAGATAAATTTCTCAAATTTCCGACTTCATTTGGAATATGGCCCTTGAGGTTACATCCTGTCGCCAAAAACATTTCAAGAGAAGAAAGGTTGCCGATGGATTTCGGAAGCATTGCATTTAGGGGATTGGAAGACAATATCAATTTTCTCAAGTATTTACAATTGGCCAAAGGAGTAATAAAGCTTAATTCACTGTTGAAGGAGTTACTGGATAAGCCAAGAACTTCCAGAAGTCTTAAATTTCCTAGAGATTCAGGAATTGAACCTGTAAGTTCATTTCGATAGAGTTCGAGATACATAAGCTTAGACATATTTGAGATTGAACTAGGTAAAACACCATTAATGTTGTTTCCAGATAGATGAATTCCTTCAACATTAGGTAAGCCATGGCCTATAGTGGAAGGAAGATTAGCTGAAATGTGGTTACCTGCGAGCTGAAGATATATAAGAGAGGAGATATTGAAGATACCAATTGGGATTGACCCTTTGAAATTATTGTAAGACAATGAGAGGTCCTCCAACTCTTGAAGGTTACCGATTCCATGTGGAATTACACCTGCAAAATTCAGTAAGATTAGGATCAGTAGAAGTATCTGAAAAACTGGAACTCTAAAATGAAAATGGATTAGTTATTTTTCCATACCTGTCAGGTTATTCATTGAAAAATCAAGTACTTGAAGCATACTCAAATTTCCAACTTCTCTAGGTAAAGGTCCTTCAAGCTTGTTTTCACCGATTGATAAATATTCAAGTGATGAAATGTTGAATATGCTTAAAGGGATTGAGCCTGTTAATTTGTTTCTTTCCATGCTTAAGTATTCCAATTTATAAAGACGGCCAATCACATAAGGGACTGAGCCTGTTAACTTATTGTAATCCATGGCTAAAAGCTCCAAGTTATAAAGATGGCCAATCTCATAAGGTATTGTGCCTGTCAAATGAAATATCACATATATTGATATATTTAGCAACTTCTACACAAAACTGCTCATAGAAAATCAAACCAACCATATATATATTATAGAGATTTTTACACTATGTATCATTGGCCCAAGCTTATAACCAAAATGGTTCCATATTTTCAGATCTTATCCGATATAGCCCATTTTGCATATAATTTGAAACACATTTTCATGATAATAGTAACTCCTTTTTCTCTTTTTTTCGCTTGATTAATTAGCGAATCCACCCTTGTTTTTATAGACAAACAGCAAATTCATACTTGTTTTCACATTCAGATTCGGACTAGGAGGCGCAAATCTCAGAATCTTCATATCTTCAAACTTCAAAGCATCCGAAACTTGTGAGTTCTTAATGACTAAAGTTTTAGTTAATAAACTGAAGTTAATATATATGACTACTTTATGCTCTTATGAAATGTCAGTTACCGGCGACTAAAATATGAATCCAGCTGAGCAAGGGCAGATCCAATAGTTCACTATGGGTTAAATTGAACCCACAACTTTTATCATAGACTTGGATTTTCTATATAAAATTCACTAAAATTGCTGAAATTATAAACCTATAACTCAAACAAGACGATGGATTCAGTAGTTGAAACCGAAATCTTGAACCCATAAAATAAAAATTCTGAATCTGCCTTATGTAGTTGAGCCGAAACAACTAAGCAATAAGTGAAAACAAGCAAATTTTGAAGTCTCACATCTTCTCTCACAATTACAAGTCTAGCTATTTTATTCAAGTCTTCTAAAAGTTGTTTATGCATTTATTTATAGAGTAAATTTTATGGGTGGTTATTCAATTTTGTATTTATTTTCCAAAAATTATTTTTTTTAAAAGTAAAAGTCATTTAACTTTGTGTTCATTATACAAAAGTCACTCTTTCTTTGTTATACAAAAATTATTTTGTTTTACTCTAGTTATCACAATAATCACTTTGGTCAAATTTTATAATAGTTTTACTTAAAATGCCTATTATGCCCTTGACATTATAAATTTTCCTGTTTATGTAATACTTATATATATTTTTACCTAGGTATTTTACTTTATAATTAAAATAACTTTATATTACTTTGTTTATTATTTCTGTAATATATCTATACATTTAATTTTCCCATGGCACTCAATTTGTTTAATCATATTTAAACGGGGACATCTTTTAAAATATAAAAATGACAAAAAATATTTATTTAAATAACAAAAATAGATTTGTTTGACAAATAATTTTTTATAGTCAGTAAAACTATTTAGAAAAATTCAAAGACATTTGTATTTAATATTAAGTTTATTTACAGCTTTGTCTGCTAATATTATTTATTTGAAAGTATTAATGTGATGTGTCAGTGTTCTACATGTGGGGATTTTGTTTATTAGGTTAATGAATATGACTTGAAATCTGTGAGGTTTGATTTTATAATTTTCATTAAAAACGTTTCATTCGGCATAGTTAAGGACGTTAACTTAGATTTGTTCACAGTAATATTACTGATAAATTTGATAATACTACATATATATATATATTGAAATTATCGTTAAGAAAAAATTAAATGTACGAATATATTACAAAAGTAAATAAATAAAATAATATAAATTTTATTTAACAATAAGTAAAATACATAGATAAAAATATATAATATAGTATATAATATAGAAAACATTACGTAAATAAGATCCGAATTTATAATGTTAAAGGCATAATAGACTTTTCAGGTGAAACTTTTATAAAATCTGATCAAAGTGACTATTGTGATAACTAGAGCATAGTAAAATCATTTTTGTGTAACAAAAAGAAGAAAAAAAAATGAATTTTGAGTAATGACCACAAAGTTAAAGAATTTTTATGTAACAAAAGAAAATAATTTTTGGGTAATGAACACAAAATTAAATGATCATCCATGAAATTTACTCTTATTGAATTTCTATAAAATTGAATCCATAAGTAAAGTTAAACTCCCCGGAAAAATGGTAAACGCATACCTTCAAAATTGTTAAATCCAATATCCAAAACTTTCAGCAGCTGTAAGTTGCCTAGTTCTCCTGGAATTGTTCCAAGAAAGTTATTTTCCATCAACGCTAGGACTTGAAGTTCCGAGCATTCTGATATGCTTCTTGGTATCTCTCCACTTAACATGTTGGAGCTAAGAAAAAGCTTTTGCAATCTGGGAAGGCGACGGCATAAATCAGATGGAAGATCACCGGTTAAACTAGCATCCATCAGACCCAAATAGTCTAGTGATGAGATGTTGAACACGGAAAGCACATTGGAGCCATTGAGTCCATTGGAACTAATATCAATGGCTATCAACTTTCGCAAACGAGACAACTCTAGTGGAAGTTCACCATGGAAATTGTTGTAGCTTAGATCAAGAGAAATAAGAAAAGAAAGGTTGCCAAGTTGTGGTGGGATGGTACCAGTAAAACCCATACCTGAAATATTGAGTACAGTAACTCGTTGATGACGAGAGCCACAAGTGATTCCAATCCAGTTACAAACAGAGGTAGAAGAAGACCAGTTTTTTGAAAGAATATGGTAAGGGTCTGGAGTGACGTGGGCTTTCAAGGCTAGAAGAGAAGATTGATCAGTGCTGATATTCATGGCTAAGCACGTCGCTATAATGTGAAAAGAGATTAATAAAAATGCTAATAGCCGAAAGGAAGAGGAGGATGTATTCTCCATTAATGATATCCTTGAGTCCACGAAATTAGGAAATGCGTCTGTTGGTTGGATCTTGTTTAACAATATAATATAATCTCTACAGAATTGCAACTGATTAAATGAATAGGAGTAATTAAGAAGATAACGCTAACCTTTTTATATTATTGAAGCTAATAATTAAGAACATAACGCTACAATTATTAACTTAGTTAGTGCAAGCTTCGTGCTAGGAAAAAGAAAGGTTGGAAAAATGTTCACGATCTGGTACTAAATGCTAACACATGACAACAATTTATGGGTTTCGTTATTAAGCTCTTGATTTATGGCTGTCACACTCCAATTAAAGTGACATTATTTGAATAGAGATAATTTTATTATTTTAGGAGTCGCCACTTATAATTGAGTATTTTCAGTGTTCCAAGTCACCAATTATTTAAATCTCTAATCAAAGAAAGTTTTGGCTCCATTGATGACTAGCGAATATAGAAGAACGGATAAGAAATTCTATTGACCGAGAAAATGGTGTAAGGCACTTTCCGGATCACATGGTTCTAGCACGGTCACTTAATTAATTTAAACCCGACTTAAACTAATCTTGGATATATGTCTTAAGGATTTTGCCTTTTTTATCCGCCTTTATTTGCTTGATTATTCGTAAATGTACTTGTCTTGCTTGTGTGCCAAAATCATGCAACGTGTACGTGTACATAACTTAAGGACATATGTATTGTTTTAAGGAGTTTAAATAAGCTGCGTGAACACATGCTTTGCTCTTTAAATTTATGGATCATAGCTATGTTATGCAGACGGATACATAGCCATGCTAATTTGAAACGCGCATAAAGCATGAATCCTCCTACTTAATTTGAGATTGATGTAAGGCTAAGAGTTATGGATAAAATATTATCGCGATAGTGAAATACAAGTTTAATTGTTAACAAGTCACTAAGCTTATAATCATTCATGCCTAAATTGAGCATATCCCTTGCACAACAATTGAATGATGCACTATGCCATGTTTGGAATATGGAAAGACTATTCTGCAACCCAAAAGGCACTTATGTAACTTTAATGACCCATTATTTCAATTCAATGGCTGCAACTTTAATGCCCATTTTAATAGCAATTCAATCGTTGTAACCGTTAGTTGAATTGTTTGTACGTACATTCTCGCTTCCCTTCTCAATGATGCTCTTGGCGACATTAATATTCCCTTCCTTTCCTGGTTTATTGGAAATTGATGAACTGCTTACTCATTACTTCTCCATGGTTTGTCTTGATCCAATTTATTTTAAAGTTATTTTCCAATTTTCTGGTACACTATCTTTTTTCATAAAAAAACTCCTTGTCCTTCATTCCAAAAGAATCACATATAAGAATATAGAAGAATTTATCTAGGAAATAATGGAGAAATCATCCCTTATAACAAATACAATTGTATCTCTAAACAATGTGCGGGAATATCCCTATTGGACTTCTAACTGAGTACCTATCAGAAGACCATGTTATGTATCCTTGGGAATCTGCTATAAGAGGTGAAGGCTTAACTGTTACATTATATGACGCCTTCTGGTTCAAGGCTGAAAACTTCAGGATGGTTGGATTAACAGTCACCTCAACACCATCAAGTCCAAATACTTTAACTGTGTATGTTGAATTAGCTTCACCAACATTAGTCACAGTCCTTGTATATGTTTGAGCCCCTGATTTCAGAGGAATAGAAAATGAAGGATAGTTCAGCTCCGATTCAGGTATGCTCGACGTGCAATGTATCTTTCTTTTCACAATTGCACTAACTTGTTGATCTGTGTAATTCAAGCCACATAAGTAGGGCACATAATCTTCGGGCTGAATGTCATAAATGAGTCCAGGATCATTTGCTCTTGATGGGTCCACGTGCCCTGATCCTGTTGCAAGTAGATTAGCAGTTTTAAATCTTTCGTCCTGGATCGGATCATTTCCAAGGTTGACGAAATCAGCAGTGGTCATGATTGCAGATTTAATTGCAGCTGGAGACCAATCGGGATGTGCACTTTTTAACAATGCTGCTACTCCGGCAAGGTGAGGACAAGCCATCGACGTGCCAGAGAGAATGTTAAATGTTGATGTAGCAGATGTTATCTCCCCTACAGAGGTTCGCCACGCTGCAAGGATATTTACTCCAGGGCCAATAATATCAGGCTTTACTATGCCAATGCTAAATGGTCCCCGTGAAGAGAAGTCAGCAACTGCTGGCGCGTGTTTGTCTCCAATTCTTGTTCCTTTGAATGATATTGTTGCAACTGGGGCTGTTGTTGATTTCATATAATTTAAGATCTTTTGTCCATCAGCATAACTAATATGTGTTGCAGGAAGGACATGAACATCTGCAATTGTTGTATAGCCACGCCATTCGTTGTTCATGAGAATCATGGCAGCACCACCGGCATCTTTCACATTTTGTCCATATTGAACTGCAGGGTAACCGGTGTTGCTTCTCTCACACAACACTATTTTACCCTTGACATCAATTGTAGACAAAAATTCACAATATTCAGGATTAACAAGTGGCAGTAACTTTTGTGAAAAATTTGATGGTTGATAGACTGATTCGCCCTCATATTCTGCTCCATTACCCAAAACTGCTACCGCGCTTATCTTTCTATCTGTTGTGCTAGCACCAACAGTTAGCAACCAGGGGGCTGCATTCGTTACGGAATCATCAACCGGTCCTGTATTTCCTGCCGAGGCACTTACAAAAATCCCCTTCTCAATCGCACTATACGAACCAATTGCTACAACATCATCATATAAAGACATAGAAGCTAATGATCCAAGGGAAATCGAGATCACATCCACACCGTCTTCAATGGCAGCATCAAGACCAGCTAAGATATCGGATTCTTGACATTTTGAAGCACAAACTCTGTACATGACCACATGAGCACGGGGCGCAATGCCAGCAGCAATGCCATTAGCTTTACCAAGCAAATTGGCACCCTCCACAAAGTTTCCAGCAGCTGTGCTTGAAGTATGTGTCCCGTGTCCATCGTCGTCCTCAGGTGACGTAGCATTTTGGGCCAAATTTCGTGCTCCAATAAGCTTGTTGTTACAGACTGTGAGATTGAACTCACATTTGCCTTTCCATTTGGCAGGGGGAGGAGGCATTCCATTGTCATTGAAAGAAGGATGTTGTGGAGTTATTCCAGTATCGATTACACCAATAATCACACCTTTACCAGAATTCGAGGCATTCCACAAGCCAACATTCTGGTGCAAACCAAGAAAATCTGGACTGTGTGTGGTATGCAACTGCAGTACCTGCTGGCGACGCGCAGATACAAATCCTGGTTTCTTTTCCATTATCTTCACTTCATCTGATGACAACACAGCAGCAAATCCGTTAAATACATGACGATAAGAATGTACAATGCGCGACGAGTGCTCAGAATTTGTTGAAGTTGTAGGCAAAAATGACTGATGCCAGAGATATAATTCTCTTGAATCAGTGAAAACTAGATCATCAGGAAACTCAAGAATTACTATATAAGTATCTATATCGCTTTGATTTGTAAAATGGTCACCAAATGTTTTTGATGAAAGAAGTAAGGCAATGCAAAGAAAGGTTGAAATTACGAGTTTCAGATCCATGTTGATTTTCGGCGATGAACACATTTAGGCAAAATGTGAATATATAATGCTTGTTTGATGCTCTGCTCGATTTAGTATGTAATCATTTGGTTACGTATCTTTTTATAGATGTTCCAAATTTGGATCAATTAGATTACCTTATAAACTGAGATTAGTATAAACATATCTATTTTTTCTCTCACTATAAAATATAATCATGATTGACCATATCTTTTATGGTCAGCAATTCAATTTTCTGCCAAATATCCATATTTGCCTATTCAAATAGTTGTTTGATTTGGAAAAAGAATTATTCTAATTGTAATCCATAGTTAATAAGTTGACTGAACAGTCATAGAAACAAGAACAATATACTAATTATTATAACGAAAGGAAATCCTATGAATTCTTCGAAAGTAATTAATTTAATAGTTTGATATTTTATTTACTTGAACTTAAAATCTCTTAATCTTCGTTATGGGTATCCTAACAAATGTCAATAATCTCATTTTTTTAAATTTTCTTTTACAATCCTTTGGAACCTTTTAATTTTTATTGTGAGCCATCACCTCGTTGTAGCTTGAAACTGCCTTCCACGAAAATAAATAAATCAGATCTTTCTTTAATTATTTTTTTTCATTTTTCTTTATACCATTGAATTTAGAAATAAATCAAAGAACAATAATCACAACAAGAAACTAACTATTTGTTCTGGTATAGAAGTGTAGCAACGTAACATATGAAACATAAAACAAATTACTCTATGAGCCATTTAATACTTAGCTCTCGCTTGGACATAGATTTTTATATTTTTCAAAGAATAAAAAAATTATTTGTTCGTGGAATT